AGCATAAGAACTAGGTATTAGAATCTAAGAAACTAATACCACAATGTAACCTTCCTTAATTCCTACCACTTATTAGGAGAGATTAACTTCTTTACCACACTACAAAACCATATTGTATTAAATACTTTTGTTTGAAAAGCTCGGGATCCTAAGACTTATGGTTTTCAAATCATCAAAATCATTTGAAATCCAATATAAAATATCATTTACACAGTAGAAGATTAACAATTTCATTCACCATGCCCAATGCATGCATTTAAAACAACAAAACTAAGTCTAAAAAATAAGGGTATGTAACGACGTGTACCACATGCATCACGGTATGTGGCACAAAGCCATAAGCTAGCATCCTCTGTGTCATGCACCATGGAATAATCGCGTTATGTATCGCAATACACATGCTAGTTTCTACCACTGTCATTTGATAGTTAGTAGGATGAATTTTTGGTATGCATCATTTTCATGTATAACATCCAGTTAGAATGATATAAGTATCCACACAAAGCTTATTTCATAAGCTAGCTAATGATATAGGATTGGACATAATCCAATAGTGCAATCAAAATTTAAACACTCGAGTATCAAAAGTCACTTTTATTAAAATTTCCATGCATTCAAGCATTCAAATCACACTCATTGTCTCATTAGACCATTCTAAGCCTTGAACAAAATTCAAAAGGACCTAAAACACTTATTGAACACAATTCACATCATTCAAATTCATAAATCAAGAATTGGTGACTCAACAGCCTAATTTCACAGCAATCAACTTTTCACCACTTTACTCAAAAACATAAGTTCAGTCACATTTTCCATAATTTCACTATAATTTCTCATATTTACACATTCACAATACATTCTAAGCTAAATCTTAGCCCTTGGTTATTGTTTCACCACATATTCAAACATATAGGCTAAGATTTACAAAATCACCACAGCTCTCAACATATCACAACTATACACATATATGAAAATTCCTACAGCAACTTCATATACAATAATACAAAAGAAAGGTTCATTACACAAGCTTCATGAATACACAGCTTTCACAACTTTAAGTTGGTCCTATCTCTTTCATTTTACTTGACTCACTACTGTATCTTGAAAAATGTAACAAAGGGGTGAGATAAACATTTCGGTAACAAAATAACTTACTACTATTGGTTATCACATGCAACCATATGCAAGTATTACATAATATATAGGTAAACATAGTATATAATGTAAAATCTCATTTCAAATCATGTGAATATAGCATTTATTCACTTTCACAAGCCATTTTCACCATAGTTCATCACTTATAGAAATAATACCATGATCATTTTCAACCAAACCTCCAAATCACCCCGATTTAAAACCATAGGCTCACCTCAGGCCAATATAAACTCTTATTAACCTTAAACTCACCTTTAGTGATAGAATCACCTGGCTAAAGATGTTCTAACTCACTTCTAGACTATAGTCTCCCTCATTACACACAATGGAGTATTGTTAGCTCTAACACCACATCATTGATGCTAAGGAACTCATATCTCCAACATTGCACCACAATAGGTACTAAGGAAATAATCTCTAATACCGCACCTCAAAAGGCACTAAGAAAATAATTCTCCAACACCGTACTCCATCGGGTACTAAGGAGAATAATGCCATATGGTCTTTTACTACTCCTCCATATGAGTAAATTTCCACCCCTATGATCATGCTTTCGTATAATTCACCTCCTTTTCATATGTAAAATTATATTTATATATATATATATTTGTGTGTGTGTGTGTATACTCATTCACAAAGGATGTAAATTTATAAGATAAATTTGCTAGAAATTAGTTTCATGCAATAATAATAATCAATTGGCAAACATACTTATTTTAAAATATTTTCATGTAATAACATTTGTACTTCCAAATAGTTACAATAGATAATCGAATCGAGAAAATTATTTAGTTACCTCAATGCTTCTATCATAAAAAAGTTACCCGTGGGTTTCTTACTCGTCTAAAGCCACCACACTAACTCTTTACCCTAAGTCACATGTGTAATGTGTTAATCTACACACAATTGGCATAATAAAACAATTAATACAATTGACCAAAAGCATTAAATATTGCTTAAAGCCATTGTCAATCGTTATTCACTTCCACTAAGTTATATTAAGTCCATCACCACTCATTTACCACTTTTTATACCTCTACAAGTTCCAATTCATTTCCCTTCTTCCTTCCACCCAAGTTTCCTTTTGGTTTAGGGCTAAATTAAGCATATAGCTTTAAAGCTTTATCATTCAATCCTAAAATCAGTCACAAAACCTTGATTAGAACCCCAAGAATCTTTTTATTAGGGTGGAATCAAAAATAAATCGCTTAAATTTCCCTGATTCAATTTCTCCCTCAACTATTCTAAGAGAAATTATAGTAAAATAGAAGCTTAGGTCAATACAAGGCTTACTTGATAAGTTATCAGTCAGAAATTTCTTCCTCAATTTTAGGAATCCACCCTAGTAGAGCATTACTTCTTTTCCCTCTCCTTGTTATGTTTTCCTTAGGTTTCCCTCTATTTTTCTTGAGCTCAATTTGAACTTACGAACTCATTTTCTGCGCCATATGCTGTGGTGCATGATACAGCGAGAAAAATTATCACTATGCACACAGGCTTCATCTTAAAATATTGTTCTTATACTCGTATATGATCATTTAACATCCAAATCAACCAAAATATCAACTTACCATTCAAAACCCAATCACTTTTTAATTACCAATTTGCCTTCAATTAGTAACTAATTTTAAGATTAAGAAATAAAGATGTTGCACTATTCTTTCACTCGATCTTATTTATTCAACACCTCAAAGAGTCAAAACATCATTTCATCATCTAAAATCCTAATCACACTAATTTACCAATTTACTCCTAATCAACTATTGTTTTCAAAATTAGGAATTTCATGATGTTATAGAAAATGTCTCCTAGTAGTCAATCTCCTATGTCTGAGTAAGCCTCTGGCTATGATCAGCCATGCAAGTGTGTAGGTTTGATGTAGTTAAATTGCAAAGTATTTAGGTTGTACATAGAGGAGAACAATGATCCTTGTTACTTTCAAGTAAACAATTATGGGATTAAGGGAATATTAAATTAGTAAATGAAAACAAGTAAATAAAAAGCTATAACAAAAGAATGAGTTGATTTAATCAATCATAAACCACTAGGCCACATCATCATTTGTAAAACCATTACCCAAAATTATAAGAATGGGCAATAGTTTTTGAAAGACTTATTGTAACACCTTGGAGATGTTGACTACATAAAATAGGCAACATTTAAAAACTATTGTGAAATGATTAAATAAAATTTAATATTTCTTTTCTATACCTAGATTCAAACCTTGAACCTGTTGAAAGGAAGAGGTGATTCTAATCACTCTACTAACTTGACATTTTAATATTATAATGCAAAATATTATATACATACAGACATGTATAATTTTTAAATTCATTTTTTAATTTATGCAAATATTATTAAAAATTAAGAGAATAAATAAATAAAAATTAACATGTGGTAGCTCATATGGCTCCTATTGGATCATGTATTTTGATGATTACAAAAATAAGAGAAGAGATATTTGTTATGTATATAGATATATAAAAAATTATGGATGAAGACAAAACGTCAAAAGCATGAAGAATCAAGAGAATATGAAGATTTATGGGATAAGTTATTTAATTCTCTTATATTCAATTAAAAACTTTTTAAGCTTAATCAAAAATTATTTTCCTTGAAATGAATGCATAAATCTGTACTCATAAGTCTCATTTGTCCATCTTAAGACTTATCTTAATATATTTAAACTTGTGAGTTATGTCATTTTAGCCTATATTAAATCATAGAAGTTGAGCTTCTCACTTTTCAATGATTCACGCCTGATTCAACATAGTCACACATGTGATTTATCCTATTAGGCACACCAAATTATGTTTCACTCCTGAATCAAGAGTGATCTACATGTGATTTGTCACTTGTGTTTGTGTGATGCCTTGACATTGCTTTTGTGCTCCATTTTACATAAGCTACCTTTAGGTACGCGCGCTTGAATTGTTATATTGTGTTCCCTTGCATATTAAAAAGTTTCATTTCATGCGTTATTTAGAAGGTATCTACACATGATATGTCATCAAGTCTATCGAACACATTTTGCCAAATTGAGTCTTAAGCCATTTTAAGGCTGATTCAACATTATAATCTTGAGTGATCTATCATCTTTGTTTTAAATTTTTTTATCATGAATTCCTTGCTTAGGTACATAATTGTCCCATGCATGATATGACTTATAGAATGGTTTAAGTTTTACAACTTGCCATTTCACGCATGATACAGAGTTTTAAAAAATAGCCATTCCACTGATGATACAGAGTTGGTTTCATGTGTGATTTATCTCATAGAATTGAGCTTAGCATTCGGCCAACCAATTCATGTGTGAGAACATAGGGGTCACACGTGAGTTTTGTCACACATAATAGGTTGCATATTCTTACCCTCCAAAACATGCATGAGATACCTAAAGATTCATGCTTGAATTGTCACATATGCATGCCTGGAACTTAAATAGCTCTATTTCACGTGTGAAACATCTGGTTGCATGCAAGAAATGTTACCAACAGCTAAAAATACTATTCTAACAATCTGTCAATTGCCAAAACTATATATGTAATACAATTCAAGTCTAGAATAAGAATTATGATCTTTGAGTGAACTATTCATCTTTTAAACATTCTAAAAAGCTATCAATTGTGCATTAAAATATAGTATTCACTTATCATTTTTAATAAAGTTTGTAAAAAATCTCTCACAAGTTTCTAAGTTTTCATTTGTAATCTATATACTCTTAAAAAGAGTTTTTCTATGAAAGTCTTATTCTTCAACTAAAAACTTGAAAAAGTGTTTTCTAAGTGATTGTAACAACTTGTTGGATTATAGCAAAGTTTTTTTATGCATCAAGACAAGTTAAGTCTTGTGAGTTATACTATGGTTGCAAGCACCCATTGAAACTTGTGATTTTTAGTTGGAAATCTCAAGTATAATCTTGAGGACTAAACGTAGACCAAGTTTTAGGCTGTACCAGTATAAATCTCATATATATTATCTCTTTCCTCCTTGCACAAGTCTTTCCTACTCTTTAACCTTTTAAGAAATTTTTAATGTCACCTAATTCACCCCCCTCTTGGGTGCCAGCCTATCCAACTGCTGCAACTTATCATCATTTTACCCCGTCTCTTTCTCCTCCTCATTAAAGTCTTCACTCTCCCTCTGCACTTCTCATTATCTCCCCATCTACCTCTTCACTTCCAAACCCAAAAATAAAACTTGATTGAAAACAAAACAAGGAATTTGGGATTGTGATGTGATCAAAGAACAAGATTGAATAAATCTAAAAATCAACAAAACCAAAAATAAAAAATCAAATGAAAGAATTGAGCAAGATAACCTAGATAAATACTCAATCAAACACAAGTTTAACAATTATATAACTAACAAACCTAGAAATCAAAAGCAAGAAAAAAAAAACCCAAAACCTTATTCAGCTATCCAGGTGCGATATCCATATCAACATCTACCATGGCTGTGACCAAGAACTGAGAATTGAAGAGTGGAGAAGGGGAAATCAAGATTTAAATTCAAATTCAAAACTACCCAAATCAATCCCAAAAATCAAAAACCACTATCAAAATTCATCCATAGCAATCAAGCCAAAAATTCACCCACGTCAGAGAACAAAAGAACTACTATCAAAAGTAAAGCTAGAAATCAAAATCAAAATATTTAAAGAGTACAATCTATAAGCAATGATACAAACATAGTTTCTCAACAGCAATCAAAATCCATCAACAAAATCAAAGAAAAATAAAAGGCAATTAAACCACTATTGTAATAACCCTAACAAAATTTAAACTGAATAAATAAATAAATATATATATAGGGTAACTTACTTAAAGTGGGTTTATATTAGTTTTTGGGATAAATATAGCAAGTCAGAGACTTGGTCTAGTGGCAGCTGAGGAAGGCTTCATATAACAGGTCCCCAGTTCGAATCCGGAAGAGTACAAAAGAAGAGTTAAAATTTTTTTTTATTTTTCTGGTCATGCAAAATTACCATATTACCATTGGTTTCATCAGATTTTTTTTAAAACTCTTTCTTTCTTCTTTCTCGATGGATCTGGACCAGAGAAGAGCTTTGAGAGCACCGACGTTTTGCTATGCCTCTCAACTGAAGCTACCTTCTTCCTCCTCCACCGAAGCCAACAACGTCGTTCGTGTAGCCGCCGTTGAAGCTCTGCTTGTTTGCTCACCTCAGCTGTGATTTTTTTTTAAGTTCTTGTTGTTCGTCCATCCCCTCTGCTGCTGATTCAAGAATGAAAAGTTTTTCTTTCTCTTAGCTCCTGGTTCGCGTGGGTATAAAAGATTTGGGTGAGCAAAGATCTCTTCCTTTTGGATTCATTTTCTATTTATTGCTGAGCTTATTCTTCTTCATTCATGGCGGTAGTTTTCTTCACTGTTCATCATCGTTCTCTTTCCTCTGTCTGTGCGTGTTGATTCATTGGAGGTTAGAAGCTTCAATCTCTTCCTTTTTCCTCATAAATATGGGCGTGTGAGTAGCTGGGGTATTATAGAAACTAGGAATCTGTGTGTGCTCTATATTGCTGCCATGACCGGAAAAAAAAAATCTGGACTGAAATCAAAAGAGACAACCTTGGATATATTGTTAGTACTTATGAGATGTCATTGAAGGTCTTTTATGAGGAATTAAAAAATTTTGACTTCTAATTATTGTTGGGAATTATTGGTTTAGGAAGTCTCTTGTAGCTTTGTAAAGGAATTTAATTATGGGCTTGCACACAATCATGTGTATATTTAGAGTTTGTTTAATTTTTGGTGAATGATTAAAGGCTTAAAATTGAAGAGGTAGAAGTAATGCACCTAAGGTAAATGATGCAAAGATTGGGAGAAAACTCCTATTCCAAGGAAATATTATGGCATGGTTAAAGTTTTATGAAGAAAGTAAGAGAAATTAATGATAATGCTTGAATTAACTTTAAATTATAAATTTGGGTTTTGAGATTTTAATGGTGGTTAGTGAAGGTTGTGTTATAAATTAAAATTGTATATATTTATATTTTATAGGGTGTGTGGAAGAACAAGACCCTGAAAAGACTTAAAAGAAGAATACTTTCAGGAGTTAGAACTTCAACAGGTAAGTGAATAGCATTCCTTATGAGCATTCATTGAAAATCTTTTATTAAAATATTTCATTTTTATGAATCATGTTAGTTTTAGAAATTTTGAAATAATGATATAGAATAATCGTATTATGATTCGTGTTCTTTCTCAAGAAATATATTTTTAATATTGATAAAGGCACCTTGGCCTATTGAGTTTTAAAAAATCTCTTGATTACACTTAGTACAAGTTTGTACATTCGTTATGATGTATCAATATGGTTTCATATATCTGAAGTAATTCATGCGAATTTGATCTTGAGAATGAAAGTTTGACTTCAAAAATGATTATTTCTCTTGCATGTTTGAAACGGGATTTCTAAGAGAACTCTATACAGAACCCTGCTGCTAACGGCAGTTCCGTTAGCCCGTAGCGCGCTGTGGTTAAATACTAGCTAGTTTGTTCCGTGAGTTTTATTCTCACGTTTGGTATTTGTGGGCTTCGTACCCGCGTTTGATTTCGTGGCCTGAGCCGCATTTGGTTACTTACCCTCGTGGGCTGTATGTCCACGTTTGTTTCGTAGCTTAAGCTGCATTTGTTTACTTACCCTCGTAGATTGATGTGTCCACGTTTGTTTTCGTGGCATAAGCCGCGTTTGGTTATTTACCCTCGTGAACTATATGTTCACGTTTGTAACTTGTTCTGTTGAGTTCTCAGAAATTTGAATGTTAATTAATATGCATTTTCAAAATTTACCTGATTTTGATGAATAATTGGTATTGTTTTGAGTTCTATGAGAGCAGATTGACTTCTTTTAGCACGATAACATAAATTGTTTTCACTTCATTCTTATTTTACAAAAATGATTATGACTTACATGCTTATAAATTTTGGTGAAATTACTTTCAATTTCTTGACACCATTATTAGAGATTGTCAATTTAAATTTTAAAAACTTTATCATGGGAATGCTATTCACTGGGAAAAAATTTATTTGGCCTCAGATTGGTTAGCTGATGCCAATTCCACCAACGACCTCAAAAATGGCAACTAGCTACAGTGGGTGGATCTTTTTAATTGGTATTGCCACTTTAATGTAAATATATAAATTGTATGTCTTTTTGAATTGAAAGAAAGAGTAGATGCTCCACATAGGTTGTTGATGAATCTTATTTTTGCCTGTATATTGGTTGCTGGCTGGAAGGAGCTATGCTCCTGACTTATACTGTTAGTTGTAAAAATTTTTGTTGTAAAATTTTCGGAAGATCTTAGTTACAGGGGAGGTTCTGCCAAAATTTTTACAAATATGTCGACGCTTTCTTATGAAAAATGAAAAAAAATGAAATGAAATAAATGTTCATTTGGAGGCTTACGGGAATATGAGAATGGTTCACACCCGTGCCGGTCACCCTCTATTTTGGGGCGTGACAACTATTGACCACCATCAGAAAACACAAATCTAGAATCTAATTTTTTTTTTAAAAAACTCAGTTAGACCTTCCATCAGCTCTGATAATGTTTCTAGGTCTTAATCCTTTGTTTGCAATATCACTACCCCACAACCTAAAGAAAGAAATTGGTATGGATTTCAAGATTAGAGAAGGAAAATCCTAAAGCGTGACAAGTGTGGATGAGAGTGATCTGTAGATGGGGTGATAAGCAAGATCTTGAAGTCACAAACGAGTTTAGGTAGGAGTAAAATCCACTAGGTGACAAGCATAGAATTCCCCATCAACCACTAATTCCTAAAAGGGATGCTCGATGTTGGGAGTGAAGAGGGAGGGAGGGAAGGAGGGAGGTAAAGATGATGAGAGACGTAGGGGAGAGATAGGTTGAGATGAATCTAAAGAGGAAGGGAGGGGTAGATGACATGTAAGGGAGAGAGATAGGAGAGGGGGGTTAACAATAAGGTAGAGAGAGAAAGGGTAAGATAATGATATGAAGACACGTGGCTGCCAACTCATTAAATTTCTGGGTCCTACTTGTACCACTTAACATTTGTTAAACTCTATTTGATCATAAGGTACTGGGTGATTCATTTTAAAAGTTTAAAGGCAAGAATGAACTAAAGAAAAGCACAAGACAGGTATCCCTAAGGGTGTAGTTCAAAGGTAAAAATGGACTTTAACCCTTACTATTATGGAAATAATTCTTCTCAATATATCTAGCTATTTATTTGATTTCATTCAAGACTTGTTCAGTTTTGCTTTTATCTAGTCTAAGTAAAACACCCTTATAATGTGGCCAAATGGAGTCTAGATAAGCTGGCCATCTCCATATGTGGCTTACAATATTAACATTGATGTTGTTTTGTGATACATAAAAACATATGGTATGCATGTTGCAACATATAGATGACAAGCAAAACGAAAGCTAAAGGAGTCAGAGAAAACTCTCACTTTAAGAATTAAATTCTTATTATTGGAAGTGTTACATATAAAGAAAAGCTTTTTATTTATACTATTTTAAAAGGGACAATGTAGTAACACTTCAGTAGGGTTATAAGAGTTACAAGAAGTGTTTAGAAGTTTCTTTATTAGTAGATGGCATTATTGTGGAGTTATAGATGTGAATTCATGGAGAATTATATATAATGCACAAAACCATCATTAACAGTGGAAATTGTAGGGATATAATTTGATTAATAAGGTCTCTAGTATATGCCTAAAAATTATAGGTTCATAGAAACATAGATTCATTACCATTTTTATGTATTGAGTTTTATTGATCTAGGTCTAAAAGATACCAAATTTGAAATGATTATATTCCACCAAAGCCCAAGCCACCATCAACAACTAATAAGCTTAAAGGAATTGAAGATCCCTCAAATCCTTCAAGAACAATGGCTTACACATGTGAGGGATTGTAGTTTATGTGTGATTGTGTGTCAAGTCCCACATTTCCCCTAAGAGGAGCTCCAAGTGTGTAAATAATAAGGAGTGATTTTGGGCTAGTATATGGGCTTGGAGGAGAGAAGTATGCTCACGCACACAACAATAGACTAACATAAGGCAATCACAATTGAACATATATTATCGATTCCCCTTGCACATGTAGCAAGTGCAATAGGCACTTTCTGTAAAAACTATTTTGGGTTTATAAAATAATGTTGTTTTTAAATATAACCTTCCAAAAGATCTATCATTTTTAGTTTTCATATTTGAGTTTCAAGCTTGTGGAAAATTTTGAGATATTTAATTTAATTGGTTTTTTTATACTATTTGAACTTCATCAAGTTTTATTTGAATATAATTTGTTAACCACGTTTTATTTCAGAATGTCAAGAAATGTGTCCTACATTTAACCACCATCATTCTAACATTTGAAAAATGGAATTCCATTAAGTGTCTTTAATATGGAAAAACCAATGCTTAGTTAGCAATTAAAGTATTTTAATGTCGCTCGACTTTTTGTCCAAATTGTGGCCTAAGTAAGGCTTGTATGCAAGAGTATCAAATTGCACCAACCTTAGAGTTTCTACTTTCTAGGCTATCTGACTTGTATTTTGTAAATTTCTACTATTCTTTACCCTTGTTATTGTGCAAGAATAGTCTGTTTAATCTTTGAAAGTTGATGAGTTTTTACTGATGTGGTAGAATAGCACCTAAAGACAATGTTTTTTTAGCACACTACTACATCAAATTTACTACTACATGCTAATGGTAACTAGGCAACAGTTTGGAACTAGCAATGTAGCTATAGCTAGTTACTATTTACTAAGATGATAAAAAATGACACGTTTGGAGCCAAGTGTGACGGAAGGCTTGGTTAGAATTGTTTAGTTGGCAATATTGATATTATGGTCCTGTTTAGTTATTTGAAAGGAATGGAATGGAATGGATTAAAAAATAAAGGTACAAATAAGTTGATCAAGGGGTGGTGAGCACATTTATAAGTAGGAGGAATAATTTAGTTCATAGGATTAAAAATCATGATTTATGAGATTTTTAGAGGGAGTGATAATTTTCACATTTGTAGTATATATTAATAAATTTTATCATACTTATTATAAGAGGAAAGTGATTTAGTTCATTTTTTGTCTTATTTTTTTTAGTCCATTCCATTTCATTATCTTTTAATAACCGAACAGACCTATATGACTGCTAATTTTGATATAATGTTCAAACTTTTTTAAACAAAATACGACCATCATTGGGGAAGTATACTAATAACTCAAATTCAAAAAATCTTAAATATGACAAAAGTGAAAACTAATCACTAGATTGTTGATGATATGATAAAATATTATATCTAATAGAACATACTTTAAAAAAAAGTATTAGATTTTTTCAAATATTCTCTTGCTTTTTTTAAGGACATATTCGTACTTTGAATAAAAAAAATTCACACTAATATTATAAATGATAAAATAAAAATACCTGAATAATAATAATAATAATAATAATAAGATTCTTTCAAAGCTTCTTTTCAAAAATCGCCTCATGTTACTTCTTTTTTGTTAATCATATGATTTCAAAATCATGTCGGGCTATTAATAGGGATGGGTCTATTAGAAAAATTAAATCCTTAATGTATGACAAATCAATGTTAATATCTTTATTAGAAGAGAGATATATTCATGTTTAATGATGTTCTCCCATGTATTGATTAAACAAGAGAATAGGTCTTTTGAACTTGAAAGCATGTTTGGGCTTTGATGAGCCCATTAAATCCAATTCATTAAAAAAAATTAGTTATTAAAAAAAATTTAAGAAAGAGGATAAGTAGTAAATTTGCCATTACCTAATTAAAACTTTATATCAAGCACCACGATGACAGATTCCCACGTTATAAGTCAAGCAACTCTTTTTAATTGGTTACTAATATGCATGTTTGTGTGTGTGTATTATATAATATATAATTTTATAATGATAATGATGATATGATGGAGACATAGGTAGGCAATTTCATTTGATTCTTTCATATTTTTAGCATTGATTTGATATGTCTATGTTTGATTTATTCAATATATTGTATAAAAATAAATCATTTTTCTTACATCGTGAGTTAGGCTCAAAGAGTATAAAAATAACATAACTTGACAAAGTAGGTTCATTATTTAATTTTCCTACTTTTTTGAGGTGATATCACAACTGTTTATAAATTGGGTACTCCATACACACTATGAGAACTTAACATGGATTAGATTGATTTGTTATCTCTTTGTTTATAACTCCTTTAGTTTTAATTTATATTTATAAATTGAATTTGATATTAGTATATGCTTGTGATTAACATTTGAAGCATATATTGGCCTCTTATAAATTTCAACTTCTAACCTTTCAAGTTGTTTGGGAGGATTTTTGTTCAAGTGAAGTCAGAGCCCAAGACAAGAAAGCCCAGTTAGGATAAGGCCACTTAATTATTCTGATTGTCTTATTGTTTTATTATTCATTTATTCTTATCTTATGTATTTACATGGCACCCTTAGGATTACTATGGTTTTGTAAATTGTCTCTATAAATGGAATACAACACTTAGGGCTTTGTGTGCCACTATTATATTTTCTATTTCTATGCAAATCTTAACTTGGTATCAGAGCTGAAGACACACTGTCAGGGTAGAAGAATCCTCCAAATCATCATCTACCCCACAGCCCACTAATTCTTTCATTTTTGCTTCTCTTCTTGCTAAAAATCTATTGGCACCTACCCTAACACAATATTTTTGTTAAGCTGGACAAGACTAATTATCTTCTTTGGAAAACTCTTGTTTTACCTTTATTAAGAGCTATAAACTTGAGGGTTTCATTAATGGCACCAAAACCTGCCCTCCTCAATTTATTATTGACAATAATGAAACCAAACTCAACCAAGAGTTTTAAAGATTGGATCTCAGTAGATCAGGTGGTTTTTAGTTGGCTACTCAACACTATGACTCTTGAAGTTTCTGCTCATATGACTCAAGTTTCATCTACTGTAAGTCTTTGGAAAGATACGTGTGAGGTAGCTAGAGCTCAAAAAAAAGCCCGTATCCTTATGCTGCAAGCTGATTTGCAACATACCTGAAAGGGTGCAATACGGATGGACGAGTATCTCACTAAGATGAAGAATATTTCTAAAAGTCTTGCATTAATAAGGAGTCTTATTCCTCAGGTGGATTTGTTCCTGCAAGTTCTAGCTAGACTAGATGGTGAATATAATCCCATCGTGGTCCAGCTATCATGCACCAAAGAAGAAATGAGCTAGATAGAGTTTCAAATCACACTACTTACTTTTGAATCTCACCTAAAACAAATCAACCAAGTTACACAACTTAACATTTCTACTCAATTTGCTCATTTTGCTTGTGCTCAAAACTCTCGTGGTAACTAGAGAAGTTTTCATGGTGCTCGAGGGTCACATAGTAGCCGAGGAAGAAAAGGCC